CGTTTTAGACAAACTGGTAGCGTAAGAAATCGCTCTAAGTCAGGAAGACCATTGTCTGCAACCAACGAAGAAAAACAACTTGATGTTCTGCAGACATTTATTGAAGATCCCAATTCTAGTGTTCAGAGAGTCGCTCAAACTCACGATATTGCTCCCATGTCGGTTTGGAGAATTTTAAAGAAGAACAAGTTCCATCCATATAAATTGCAATACGTTCAAGAATTGCAAAACGGAGATGAGGAGCGTCGTATACATTTCTGTGAAAGAATGATGGCACTAATAGATGTCCGGCCCATCTTCCCTTATCAAATTGTTTTCACAGACGAGGCAACTTTTACCTTAACGGGAGAAGTTAATAATCAAAATTTTCGTTTCTGGTCAGATGAGAATCCGAATTGGGTGCGGGAAACTCACACACAACATCCACAAAAAATAAATGTATGGTGCGGAATAATAGATGGCTATTTAATAGGGCCGTTTTTTTTTGAAGAATATTTGAACGCTCAAAGGTATGAGAGATTACTTGTTGATCAAATAATTCCAGCCATACAGAATACTTTTCCAAATAATTTCCAAGAAATATGGTTTCAGCATGATGGAGCTCCTGCTCATTTTGGTGCAGGACCACGTCGTATTTTAAATGAGACTTTTCCGCTACGGTGGATAGGAAGAAGGAACGGAAATGAGGGAGGAGAGGATTGGCCACCTCGGTCACCAGATCTAACTCCTCTTGATTATTATCTATGGGGATATCTGAAGAGTAAGGTTTACAGAACAAAACCTAAAACCATTCACGAATTGATACAGCGAATAAGGGATGAAATGGCTTTGATACCTTTTGAAACGAATCGTAAAGTCATTTCTACATTCTACCAAAGATTAGCATATTGTCAGGAAGTAAATGGCAGCCACTTTCAGCATTTACTTTAACACATTGAAACACATTTGCAATCGTTTGGTGCAACCTAACCTGATCTCTGTATACACGCACCGCACGCACGCACACGCACACATTTCGAACAATTATTATGATAAATGAGCATCCACAAATTTATTTACTGTTTACTATGTCGATTGCTTTCCAGGTCTTTAAATGCTCGATTGTAATTTGGTTGGGTCTTTGCTTTTGCTGACTGGATCCACGACCGATCTTGCCTTAGTTAGCTGGATCACACACACAACAGATGCAAATCCGAGCGAGTAACCTCCATGTAGTACACCTTGGATAATGTTAATACCGGCGCTACTCTATCATTCAACCCTCATAACTCGCAAAGTACTTAATAAAAATGAACATTATTATAGTGTTTTGGAAAGCTCTTGAATTAAGCTATAAGAATATGCAATCAAATGTAGGGGGTGTCATTTAAAAAAGTCAATGTGACCTTGACCTGACCTTGATGACGCCATCCAAGGTCAAACTGATAGAATCAGTATATAGATCTTCTTAAACCCTACAACTTTTGTTGGAAACACTTTTCTGTAAAACGTATATTTTCCGAGATATTTAGGGGTTTCCACACTTTTGGTAGACCCTGTATATATATATATATATATATATATATATATATATATATATATATATATATATATGATCGTGTACTAAGCTAAATGTCTGGATAGTCAGGAAATATTTTTTATGACAACAAATCATTTACTAAAAGTCCTCAATATGATTCTATTTATAGGTTTATTTCATAAAGCGATATCGCAAAGTGGCACTGTTACGTGTCCGTGGGCGTTTACCGATCCGGAATCTTATTCAACGAATAAAGGCTTCTTGCTTGCCAAGAAACTCGGAAAAGTGACCGAAGATCCGAAGGATGTCTACGAGTTTCTCAAAACGATCGACGCGAAAAAACTCGTAGAGACTGAGAAGTTTCTCGTGACAGAAGAAGTAAGTGTATCTTAAAATTTGATTGCCTTTATTTCAATATGGAGATACATGTGTATACAGATCTGTAGACGATCTATTGTACGAATAATATATTTTTTCAAACATTCATAACATCTTTTTCAAAGGAACGTCGGCAATTTCTCGTGATTTTTACACCTACTCTGGATCACGAATCCTCAAATCCAGTCTTCCCGGAAGATCTAACGACGCTTATACATCGTGGTGTTAAAGTGCCATATCTCCTAGGTTTTACAAGTTGCGAAGGATCTTTTCTCTTAAAGAGTAACTTTATTGGATGTGAGTATGTTTGTATTTTATCCTCATTAAATGTATCTGTAATGCTTTGTCGCATAATTTTTTGTAAACGTTATCTTCTATTAAGAATACAACATTGATATTATATGTATAAATATGACATTTTAAATATAACATTTTAAAAATAAATTTTCGTTATGTATGTGTGGCAAACGTTGCGAAATTATTCTGTAACGAAAAATTTGTTAAAATATTATTCGCTCTTTATGTGATACTCATTGTATAGTATAGTCACTACAATAACAACATGATTTCAGGCATAAGTAAGGAGGCACTCAACCGAGTAGATTCTGACTTTAAATTGGCAATACATCCCAGAGTTTTAAATACACTGCCAAAGATATCAACCACATTATGTCAATTACGATCTTTATATTTTGGTGATAAAAATATTTCAGAGGAAACAGTGGCTAATTACATTAATTTAATCAGCGATACATACTTTTTGCGCGGTATTATGCAAGCAGTGGATATTCAAATGAATAATGATAATTCTGGAAAGACATATCTGTATCAATTCTCATATGAAAGCGAAACCTCATTCATGAAGAAAATATCCAATGTCGACTTTCCAGGTACAAACGTTAATAAATTTAAAATGGTAATGAACTTAATATGAGATTAATGTTGAACTGTATATATAATGTTGTATAATGTTGAACTATGTATATACGATTGCATTTATACTGTTAAAATGCTATCTCTGAATAGCATTTTTACATTATACTTAAGAACAAATGTATGTGATTTCATTTTAAAATATTTTTTTTTTAAACTATATTTTTTCTAAAAATTTTAATATTTTTTCGATTTAAGAATAATAAATATAAATTTAGAATAAAAATTATATATTTAATTAATTTAATATATTAAGTTTTTAATTAATTTACTATATTAAACTGCAAAAAAATGTCAAACGACATTTTGCAGGTGTATCTCATGGCGAAGAACTGGGTTACCTGTTTTATGCTGATATAATAAAAGAATTGGGTTTATCAGTACCCGTGCCTGATTCGGAGGATTATAAAATGATAAATCGTTTAACCCAGATGTGGACAGATTTTGCTAAAACAGGGTACTATAAACTTGATATTTTTATGAGTTTACAGTGATTTATTGTAATAATTAATTTTCAATTTATGTCCAGAAATCCAACACCCGCGATTACGGATTTGACTCCAATTAAGTGGATACCGTTAAAGCGCGAAGCTGTATACGATTATTTAGACATTCATATTGAACCTCGGATGAAAACCCTCCATAAAGGAAAGCAACGTTGGGACTGGGAGAACATGAATAACATAAGCTATGATTATTCTGTTTACAAAATTTAATCAGCAATAAAAAATTGATATTTTAATATACACATACATACACATTTTACGATAATAAATAAATTTTTTCCTCATTTTTTTGTACTTCAAATTATATTTGCGTCACAATGTAATGCGTCAATTGCTTATGAAGATAATCGAAAATAATATTATTAATTCAATATAATATTATAATAATATTATTAATTAAATAATATTATTAAGAGCTTTAAAAATTATGAAATATGAACAGTTTTGTTTTATGAGTCAATTTTTATCGTTAGAAATGCTGAACATTAATATTTGTCAAATTATAAATCCATAAAAAACAGAAAATAAAAACTGTACTGTACTTTTATCCCCAAACTATGTTATTTTTATTCCAGGTCCCCAGGATAAAAGTAACGCAAGCAACGTACTTATGAAAAGCTATAATAGCTTTTTAAATATCTATCATTTGAGATTGAAACATAGATATAATAATACAACAATAAGTGGAGTTTCTTAACATATAATCTTTTTTGTTACATCTTTAATGATAATTAATTAGCGACCTATAATACAAAAAATGTTACTTTTTTGTCCCCGGTCTTCCCTACATATATAGCATGCTTCGTTATCTAATTTTTTTAATGATTTGTTATTTCATATATTTAAAAACTTGACGTTATTAATAAAAACTTAGATGTATAATTTCAGAGAAACAGTGTACTGATATCTTTTGAAAATTAATTATTCTTAAATATGTAATATATTTCGAATATATTAATGACTGTATCTAGAATCGTAAAGTTTAATTTTCTTAGAGAAAAAATTTCATTTTCACATAAAAATTTTGTACAAATAGTTTGTGAGCTTTATAATTTATTTGCGTGAATATCGATAATATTCATAATACCGCGATAGAAAACCTTATTGGCATGAAAATCAGTGTAATTCATTAGAGTTTCCTCTGAAACATTGCATTGCATCGTTATCAAAAAATCTTGTAAGCTCTACTTTGATTTCAAAAAATAATATTATTTATTCTTATGATTTGTTTTATAAGTGATTTACATTTATATGCATATCATAAATATTTTTTGCATTCTTTGCAAACAATACAAACAAAATTTTATAGTTGTAAGAAAATGAACGAGAGAGATACCATATCTTGTAATGTAAGATTAACCGAGATAAAAGTGATTGTAAATTATACAATATTTTATATTTTATCAGTAACATGTATAAAAAGTTCCATTCTCGTTTAAAGAGGGCTTAGATGAAAATACGTCATAAATAGATCATTATTTGTTTTATATTGAATTATATATTGCTGATATAAAATATTGTATAATTTACGACTTTCAATTCTTATCTCAATTAATCTAACATCATAAGATATGATATCTCTCTCGTTATTTTCCTTATATATATATATATATATATATATATATATATATGCATATATATATAAGAAAATTACATATGCAGTAATCAGTGTAAGCCAACAGACCGACTTATCAACATTCTTTTCCCGTCATTCTTCTATTGTATTCCTTATGGAGAGAGTGAAAGTTTATGTACGTGATGGCAAGTTGATTGGTATTGTCGAAAAAGGTATTTATGGTAGTCATTATATTGCCTTCCGTGGAATACCGTATGCAAAACCTCCGATTGGTGAACTCAGATTTAAGGTAAATATATAGCTTTCTCAGTGTTATCGCGATCGGTTTTGTACGGTGTTCATTTTAATCTTTAATTTCATATAATTCATTAAATATTTAACTTTAGTCGTTAATTTCATATTTAACTTAATTATTTGCTTACAAAGTTATTGCACAATTATTGGCTACATAATTGCATAATTAAATAAATTTCTTACAAAATTAGAAAAATACAAAGGATCAAGATTAGCTAAAAGATGTCATTGATAAAACTGTCTAGTTGGGTCCAGCATATTGTGCGATTATTATATTTTCTCTTCCATTATTTTATAGAAGTAAAAAAAAATATAAATTATTATGTGCATCCAAATTATTTACATAAATATGTTTAATTAGATATTTAAAAAATATTACAAAAATAATATTAATAAATGTATTATTTCTTAATTTTTGTCGGCAATCATAAAGAAAGGATTTATGTAAAGTATATAAAGAGAATTTTCTCATTGTAGAAAATAATTGAAATATATAAGAAGTATATTTCTATATGATAGTACAAAACAATAAGCGATTTTAAATTAATAATTTTTTTTTAATTTGATTTAATATCTACGAAAGAGCTACAATAATTAATCGATTCGCGTATTATTCTTATTCTATTATATAATGTTTTAATACGCTGACTTCAAAAATGCACAACAGTGTACGCATACTATAACATTAAAATTTAAAAATAAACGTTTGCAGCGGACGACACTTCTAAAGTTTAATAGATAGTGCTATGGAAACATACACTCTTTACGTATAAAGTTGTAAAGTATATCTCGTTTAAAACAAATTATTTTTGTAACGCACGATGATGCAGGATAGCAAAAAATTAATATTTAATTGATAGCAAAATTTGTTTATATTTGGGGAATACAATAGTCAATACAAAATGTAAAATTTGATATAATAGTTATATACGTATTTCTTACTAAGACCTAACATTTGATATATTTCATTGGCGACTTCTTTATAGGATCCTGTACCGCCAGAACCATGGTCCGGCAGCAGAGATGCTTCAAAATACGGAAATGTCGCAGTTCAAATAAATAAAAACAAAATTATAGGCGACGAAGACTGTCTTTATTTAAATATATTTACCACAGATATTAAGTCTTTGGAAAAACGCCCTGTCATGATATGGATACATGGTGGTGGTTTTACTAACGGTTCCGGTGGTTCATCTATGCATGGTCCCGATTACATTGTTGATAAAAATATAGTATTGGTTACCCTAAATTACAGATTAGGTGTTCTAGGTATATTATTACTAATTAATTTGATACGCTATGAGTTATGTTAAACTTACTACTTATGTTTAATGCGTATATCACTTGCTTATTTCTTTTCATAATGATCATTTAGATAGAATATGGTGTACCTCAAATTATTAACATATTAATAGTTTTACAGACAATAAATTCCTTCATTCAAACTCGTATAAAAAAGATTTAAATTTATATTTTTATTCATATTTTACTTTATAAATTCGTATAAAAAGATTTAAACATATATTTTTGATTTATTGCATGTAGGATTATTTTCTTCGAGAAAGATTCAATATTAACGACGAATAAATATTTATAATAAATCGGTTAGGTTAGGTTAGGTTTGCGCTAATTGTGTATGAAAGCAATATGTTAAAAACCAGCATATTATTAATTTCATACAAGATACAAAGTGAAAATTATTCATATATAAATCAATTTTAAAAAATTTGGTACATATTTTATCATTAAAATTATAATTTTTTACGTAAATGCAAGTTATGTTTATAATGACATAAGCGTTATCGTAATTAACGAGCATTTTTTTCCGAATATTAAGTGGTCCTCTAATCATTTCATTTAAATCGATTCTATCAAAGAAAAAGACTATGAATTATATACTATTACTATGCGACTTTCTTTAGGTTTCCTGAATTTATATGATGAAGTAGCAACAGGTAATCAAGGTCTGAAGGATGTGATCATGGCATTAAAATGGATTCAGAAAAATATAACAGAGTTTGGTGGAGATTCAGGAAATGTTACTATTTTCGGCGGAAGCGCCGGTGCAGCCATAGTACATTATTTGACTTTATCTCCATTAAGCGAAGGTGCGTATACTTATCGATGCATACACAGAATTATCTGGTATATGTACGGAATTCTATTATTTAATCAGATTTATTAACTAATTAGAAGTTAACTTTTTCAATGTTTTTTCTGCGTTCAACAAAAACATAGGCTCCAATACTATAAAGAAAACTTAATGGAACTAAGATATACATATATATATATGTGTGTGTGTGTGTGTGTGTGTGTGTGTGTGGGTGTGTGTGTGTGTGTGTGTGTGTGTGTGTGTGTGTATAACATATTCATTTTTTACAATTAATTTCAAATTAATATTATCATAAAGTAATTAAATTTTCAGTTTTTAAAATTTTAATTTTTATCTTAATTACGAAAATATATGTTAAAATCTAAAATTTATATCAAATTATATAAAATTTCTATAAAAATTTAATAAAATAAAATAATTACTCTAAAAATTTATATATTACGGTCAAAATTTATATAAAATAAAATAATTACTCCAATGTGTTCGCTAAAAAATGGTTAAACTTTATCAAATTGACGAAAAAGATGATTAAAAAGATATGAATTTACTCTCTAAAATAAAAATGATATATTTTTTTTATTAATCAAAGCCAAAAAGAGCAAGAAATATTTTTTTATGACAACAAATTGCGTGTACCAAAAGTCCTCGATACGATTCTATTTACAGGTTTATTTCATAAAGCGATATCGCAAAGTGGCACTGCTATATGTCCGTGGGCCTTTACCGAACCGGAATCTTGTTCAACGAATAAAGGCTTCTTGCTTGCCAAGAAACTCGGAAAAGTGACCGAAGATCCGAAAGTTGCTTATGAATTTCTCAAAACGATCGACGCGAAAAAACTCATAGAGAGTGAACAATTTCTCAAAACAGAAGCAGTAAATATATTTTACAACTTAATTATGTTTATTTCAATATGGAATTATACATATATACAGATATAGATAGAGATTGTAGGAATAAAATATTTTCTGTAACCCTTCCGTTCTTCGTTGCGATGAAATTTAATGCAGAGCGCGCGTGATAAACAGCATATTTAGCCGTGATATAAATAGCGAGACATTTTGCTGTCGCGAATCGCGTATCAGTTACTAGTATGAAGATATTTGAATAATGATAATATAAGTACTGCACCTGCAAGCGCCAATGGCACTATGTAGGCGATAACACTTGAATGCCTTAAGTCGCCAACAGTATGCAATCATCAAAATTTCAAAACGCCTAAAGGCGCCTATAGCAGCGAAAGGATTAATAATATTTTCATTTTTTAGGAGCGTCTACAAATTTTATTGATTTTTACACCTAGTCTAGATCATGAATCATCAAATCCATTCTTCCCGGAAGATCTAACAACGCTTATACATCGTGGTGTTAAAGTGCCATATCTTCTGGGTTTTACAAGTTGCGAAGGAATTTTTTTTTTACGCAGTAGTTACAGACGTAAGTACATTTGTTTTTATTATATATATATATATATATATATATATATATATATATATGTACAGAGTGAGTTAAAAGTATGTGTTAAAAATTTGTGAGCATGTTTCTGAAAAAAAGAAGAACAAATGTTTGTATGACATATATATATATAGTCTCAAATGCTTCGTTATTGAAATAATGGACATAAATTAGCAGTATCAAATAATGATTTATTTGAATGTTTACAATTTTGTTGTTCTTTACAAGAGTCGTTCTACGTGTGCTCCATCATTTTCAAGAACATCGTATAGCAAATACCAGTTAACAATGAAGATGATCTATGGACATGTATCCATAATATTTGCGAGATAGTCCGTGGAAATCATGGTGTTTTCGAACAACTGCGCCAGTCATCTAGACGTCGTGCTCAGGCATGTATTGAAAATGATGGAGGACATGTAGAGCATCTCTTGTAAAGAATAACAAAACTATAAACGTTCAAATAAATCATTATTTGATACTTCTATTTTATGTCTATTATTTCGATAATGAAGCATTTGCGATCATATGTTCATATAAACATTTGTTCTTCTTTTATTATCTAGGAATTACTTACGAATTTTCACTTACGAATTTTTAACACATACTTTTGTCTCACATTGCATATATATATATATATATATATATATATATATATATATACTATTTAAAATTTAATATTTTAAAAATAAATTTTCTTTGACAAACGTTGCTAAATTACTTCTTAGTAAAAAATTAAAATATTATTATGTTAAAATATATTCGCTCTTTACGTGACAATCTCTGTACCATCACTGCAATAATACCTTTAAAATGATTTCAGGCATAAGTAAAGAGACTGTCAGTCTATTCTATAACGAAAAAAATTTGTTAAAATATTATTCGCTCTTTATGTAATACTCACTGTGTATAGTATAATCACTATGATAACAAAATGATTTCAGATATAACTAAAGAGACTCTCAGCCAAGTAGATTCTGACTTCAAATTGGCAATATATCCCAGAGTTTTAACTACACTGCCAAAGATACCAATCACATTATGTCAATTACGATCTTTATATTTTGGCGACAAAAATATTTCAGAGGAAACATTGGCTAATTATATTAATTTAGTCGGCGATACAATGCTTCTTCGCGATACTATGCAAGCAGCGGATATTCAAATGAATAATGATAATTCTGGAAATACATATTTATATCAATTTTCATACGACAGCGAAACTTCACTCATGAGGAAAATTCTCAATGTTGATTTTCCAGGTATATCCGCTAATAAGTTTAAAACGTTAATAAACTTAATATAAGACTCTTTAATATTGAACTGTATATACAAGTACACTCATACTGTAATTAAAATAGTATCTCTATATAACAGTATTTCTACATTATACTTAAGTAAAAATGTGTGATTTCTTTTTAAAATATTTCAAAAAACTATATTTTTTTCTATTAATTTTAGTATTTTAGTATTTTTCCCATTTAAAAATAATAAATATAAATTTAGAATAAAAATTATATTTATATTTTTAATTAATTTACCATATTACAACATTTTGCAGGTGTATCTCATGGCGAAGAAATCGGTTACTTGTTTTATCCTGATATAATAAAAGAATTGGGTTTATCAGTACCCGCACCTGATTCGGAGGATTATAAGATGATAAATCGTTTAACGCAGATGTGGACAGATTTTGCTAAAACAGGGTACTATAAACTTGATATTTTTGTGATTTTACAGTGATTTATTATTATAATTAATTTTCAATTTATTTCCAGGAATCCAACACCCGCGATTACGGATTTAACTCCAATTAAGTGGACACCGTTAAAACATGCTGGAAATGTGTACGATTATTTAGACATTAATACTGAACCTCGGATGAAAACCCTCCATAGAGGAGAGCAGCGATGGGATTGGGAGAATATGAAATATAATCTATGATCATTTTGTTTACAAAATTTTATTAGAAATAAAAAATTGGTTTTTTAGTATACACACACATTTTACGATAATAAATGTATTTTTTCATCATTTTTCTTTTGTACATACTTCAAATTATATTGGCGTCAATGTAATACGTCAAAATTGCTTGTGAAGATAATAAAAAATAATGCTATTATATTCAGAGAGCTTCAAAGTTTGTAAAATGTGGGACAGTTTACTCTTAAAAGTCAGTTTTTATCAGGAATGTTGAAATACTAATAGTTGTTAAATTATAAATCCATAAAAACATAAAATTTTTTGTAAACTTTATTTATTATTAAATTTTTTTAAATAATAAGTAAGCTATATCAATATTTTTGTTTTCGTAGATTATTTAAATTATGAAGAAATTTTTTTTATTTAATAAAAAATTATTATTTTCTATATTATCATTATTACATTATATTATCATTATTGTCGAATTTATCAATGTTTCTCCTACTACATATTTCTGAAACATGGATTTGTGTGAAAACGTGTATAATATTATTGTAATCATATTTATCAACGAACAGTTTTATATAATTTATCTTCTTAGTTTTATCTAATGTAATCTTCGATAAAATCATCAAAGTAAAAAGCTTTAAAATTATCAAAATAAAATTTTAAATCTTATTAAAATTTTTGCTATTAAAATGTCTATAAATCTTATCAAAAATTGCGCAGATTTCTTATCAAATCCCATCTTTGTAAAGTAAATAATTAAATTGTAAACAAAGTGAAAGTATAAGAAACGATTTGATATCTTAATTAATTTTATATCTTTTATCTTTCGCGTGATCAATTCTAAAGGTAAATAAATCGTAGCAAATTTAATCGCGATAAAGCATTTTATATTTTGAAGTGATTAACCGAAGTCAAAGTAATAAAATTTATAATATTTCAAAATAAAATCATATTTGTTTTCTTATCATATAAGATTGTACACTATGTTTTATTATCTTATTTGTTGAATTATCCTTATATATTTAGAAAAACTTGTCATTATTAATAAAAAACTGAGATGTGTTATTTAGAGTATACTGGTCTTATATCTTTTAAAAATTAATGATTCTTACATATGCTATATATTTCGAATATATTAACGACTGTATTTAGAAAAGTTCAATAATTTTCTTAGAGAAAAAGTTTCTTTTTCGTATAAAAATTTTGTACGAGTAGATCTTTGTACGAATGAGCTTTATATAATTTACTTAAATATCGATAATATTCATAATGTTGCGGTAAAAAAGCTCATTGGGAAGAAAATCAATATATAAAATAAAATTCATCTAATGAATTCATCTAATGAATAAAATTCATTAGAGTTTCCTTTGAAACATTGCATTGTATTGTTATCAAGATATCTATAGAAATTGTAATTCTTTGCAAGTTCTCTACTTTGATTTAAAAAAAATCTTTTAAATCGTTTTTATAATTAATTTATATTTATAATACATATAATAATGCATGTTATAAATATTTTTTGTATTCTTTGGAAACAAAATAAAATTTTATAGTTGTAAAAAGGATAACGAAGGACAGAGATAACATAATTTTGCGTTAAGTAAAATTAATCAGGATAAAAATTGAAATATGGTTGTAAATTATACAATATTGCTCATCAGTAACATAATAAATGTAAAAAGAAAACAGTAAACAAGATAATTCCTACTTTAAATAAAAATCGTCATTTACATTGATACATATAATCGTACAATATAAGCTAGCAGATTGAAGCTCAACGTTTCTTTTCCGTTCTTTTCCTTCTAGCGTATTCATCATGGACAGGGTGGAAGTTTGTATACGTGATGGCAAGTTGATTGGTATTGTCGAAAAAGGTATTTATGGTGGCCATTATATTGCCTTCCGTGGAATACCATATGCAAAACCTCCGGTTGGTGAACTCAGATTTAAGGTAAATATATAGCTTTCTTATTGTTATTGTAATCAGTTTTACACAGCGTTGATTTTAGTTCTTTAATGTTATTGATTGTTTGTTTCTTATTTAACTTAATTCTCTGACAAAAAAATTACAACTAAAAAAGTACAAAAGATCAAGATTAACTAAAAGCTGTCATTTATAAAACTAGTTGGTAAAAGTGGATCTAGAATATATTGTGCGATTATTATATCTTATCTTCTTTTCTTTATTTTATAAAAATACAAAAAAAAATAAATTATTGTACATCTATGTTATTTAAATAAATGTTTCTAATTAAAGCAATACTAAAAAAATATGACAAAAAAATAATAATTGCATGGTATTAACTATTAATTTTCATCGACAATCGCAAATCGAAAAAACGATTTGCTTAAAGAACGTGTGATATATATAACAATAATAATTCTTTTAGATGTAAAAAAACAATATGTTTTGCAGTATAAATAATTCTTTTTATTACATAGAATTTTCATAATTCTTTTTATTCTTTTCATCATATAAAATTTTCATTGTAAAATATAACTGAAATGTACATATATATATATATATATATATATATATATATATATATGTGTATGTATATACATATGAGGAAATGTAAGAAATGTAGTAGAAAATAAGCGAATATATATTAATAAAACATTCTTTGTTAATCTAATATCCTTGAAAAAGCATTATTTTGATCGATTCGCTCATTGCTTATTCAATTATTAAATTTTTCAGTATGCTGACTTTAAAAGCGCGATAATAATATGCATACGAGTATAATACGATAGCAGTAAAACATAATAACAATACGCATAACAATAATAATAAACACTTGCAGAGTCGACACTTCTAAAGTTTAGCAGACAATACTATGCAAATATTACGCGTACAACTGCCTCTTGTAGAATTAAATACACGCTCTTCGCAAAATATATTTTGTTTTGTCATCGAAAAACTAATTATTCTTACAATGCATGACGATACACGATAGCAAAAAATTAATATTTAATTTTGATCGTAAAATATGTTCATATTTGATGAACATGATAATTCAATACAAAAAAATATAAAATTTAAAATATTATTACCTGAGTATTTTTTCTCCTTACTAAAGACTTTACTAAAGACCTAGTATTTGATGTTTCACTGGCGATTTATATAGGATCCTGTACCGCCAGAACCATGGTCCGGTAGCAGAGATGCTTCAAAGTATGGAAATGTTGCAGTTCAAATAAATGATATCAAAAACAAAATTATAGGCGACGAAGACTGTCTTTATTTAAATGTATTTACCACAGATATTATGTCTTTGGAAAAACGCCCTGTGATGGTATGGATACATGGCGGTAAATTTTCTATTGGTTCCGGTGATTCATCTTTTCATGGACCCGATTATATTGTTGAAAAGGACGTAGTATTGGTTACCCTAAATTACAGATTAGGTGTTCTAGGTATATTATTACTAATTATTACTAATTAATATTATTACTAATTAACTTGATACGCAATAAGTTATGACTTATATTTAATGCGTATATTATTTGCTTATTTCCTCTCATAATGAACATTTAGATATAATAAATATGGCGTATTTCAAATTATTTACATATTTGTTTTATAGACAACAAATTTCTTCATTCAAACACGTATAAATAGATTTAAATTTATATTTTCAATTTATTGCATGTAGCATTATTTTCTTTGAGAAAGATCCAATATTAAGAACAAATAAATATTTATAATCTGTTCGCGCCAATTGTGTCGTAAGCAATATAATATTAGCTGGTGTATTTTTAATTCATAGATATAAAATAGAAATTATTTTATATATATAAATCAATTTAAGAAAATTTGGCATTTGTTTTATCAAAGTTATAATTGTTGACATGCAAGATATGTTAATATTTATAATGATATAAACGTATTTTATTACTAACAAACTTTACTTTTTTCCAAATATGTATTGACTATCTAAACATTTCATTTAAATTGATTTTGCCAAAAAAAGGATCAACATATCAATATATGAATTTCTTTAGGTTTTCTGAATCTATATAATAAAGTAGCGACAGGCAATCAAGGTCTGAAGGATGTGATCTTGGCATTACAATGGGTGCAGAAAAATATATCAGAGTTTGGTGGAGATTCGGGAAATGTTACCATTTTTGGCGAAAGCGCTGGTGGAGTTATAGTACATTATTTGACTTTATTTTCATTAAGCGAAGGTGCATCGATATACATAGAATTATCTAACATATATAGGGTGTTTGACATAAGGTATCCCATCGAAAATATACAAGAAGATTTCGTTAAACTGAATTAAAATGTCCTGTATCATTTTACAAACAATCACGTAAAATTTCGAGATATTTATTAACACTTTATGTCAGGCACTCTGTAGAATTATCTATTATTTAATTAGATTTATTAGCTAATTTGAAATCAATTTTTTTTGTGCTGAACAAAATCATAAGCTCAAATATTATGAAGGAAATTTCATAAATTAATAAGATATGCATATATATAACATCCACATTTTTCAATTAATTTCAAATTGATATTATTATGAGGTAATTAAAAATTTCGAGTTTTTAAATTTAAATTTTTATTTTATCAAAATTCTACAAAAACATATATTAAAATTTAAAAATTTGTATAAAATAAAATAATTACTCCAATGTGTTTGCTAAAGAACAGTCAAAATCAACTTCAAATTCACGAAAAAAATCAATGATTAAAAAGATATAAATTTATTCTTTAAAATAAAATCTCTGCATTTTTTTTATTAATCAAAGAGAAAAAGAGCAAGATTTATTTTTTATGACAACAAATCGTGAACACAGCTAAAGAAACTCGATATGATTTTACTTACAGGTTTATTTCATAAAGCGATATCGCAAAGTGGCACTGTTACATGTCCGTGGGCCCTTACCGAACCAGAATCTTATTCAACGAATAGAGGCTTCTTGCTCGCCAAAAAACTCGGAAAAGTGACCGAAGATCCGAAGGACGTCTACGAATTTCTCAAAACTATCGACGCGAAAAAACTTATAGAGACTGAAAAGTTTCTCGTGACAAAAAAAGTAAGTGTATCTTATAAAATTTGATTGCATCTACTTCAATATGGAAATATACATGTGTACAGATCTATAAACGATTTATTCTATAAAATATTTTTTGAAACATTAATAACATCTTTCTCGAAGGAGCGTCGACAATATTTCCTGATTTTTACACCTACTCTGGATCACGAATCATCAAATCCAGTTTTCCCGGAAGATTTAGCAACACTTATACATCGTAGTGTTAAAGTGCCATATCTTCTGGGTTTTACAAGTTGCGAAGGAAGTATTTTTTTAAATGATTACGAACGTGAGTACATTTATTTTTATTCTCATTATATATTAAATATATCTGTAATGTTTTTCGTTCAAATTTTTGTAGACGATATTTTCTATGAAGAATATTACATTGATATTATATATATATATATATATATATATATATATATATATATATATATATATTCGATGAAAATTTATTTTTAAAATATTAAAATATTTAAGTATTTTAAATTTATAATATTTTAATATTTAAAGTATATATATATATGTGTGTGTGTGTGTGTGTGTGTGTGTGTGTGTGTGTGTGTGTGTGTGTGTGTGTGTGTGTGTGTAATATATTTCGCAATATTTGCCGATGAAAATTTATTTTTAAAATGTTAAAGTATTTAAGTATTTCAAAATTTATTTTAAAGTATCACGTATATATATATATATATATATATATATATATATATATATATATATATATACGTGATACTTTAAATATTAAAATATTATAAATTTCAAAATACTTAAATACTTTAATATTTTAAAAATAAATTTTCATCGGCAAATATTGCGAAATTATCTTTTAGCAAAAAATCATTAACATATTATACGACTATGTTAAAATATATTCGCTCTTTACGTGACAATCTGCATAATCACTGTTATAACACCTTTAAAATGGTTTTAGTGATAAATAAGGAGGCTCTCAGCGACATAGATTGTGACTTCAAATTGGCAATATATCCCACAGTTTTAGCTACATTGCCAAAGATACCAATTACATTATACCAATTACGATCTTTATATTTTGGTGACAAAAAAATTTCAGAGGAAACATTGGCTAATTACATTAATTTAATCAGCGATATATTTATTATGCGTGGTATTATGCAAACAGTAGATATTCAGATAAATAATGATAATTCTGGAAAGACATATCTGTATCAATTCTCATACGAGAGCGAAAGCTCACTCATGAAGAAAATTCTCAATATTGACTTTCCAGGTACAGACGCTAATAAGTTTAAAATGTTAATGAACTTAATATGAGACTCTTTAATGTTGAACTGTATATACGAGTACACTCATATTGTAATTAAAATGGTATCACTAAGTAATAGTAATATTTCTACATTATAAGAAAGCGAGAATATGTGATTTCATTTTAAAATATTTTTATTAAAAAATTATTTTTTTCTATCAATTTTATATGAAGAATTTTATTTTTAATATTTTTTCCATTTAAAAATAATGAATATAAATCATATTTGTTTCTAATTATTTATTATATTACATGTTACAGGTGCGTGTCATTGCGAAGAATTGTGTTACCTGTTTTATCCTGATATAATAAAAGAATTGGGTTTATCAGTACCCGCGCCTGATTCGGAGGATTATAAAATGATAAATCGCTTAACACAGATGTGGACAGATTTTGCTAAAACAGGGTACTTAATAAACTTGATGATTCTTACATGATTTTCACTGATTTATATAATAATTAATTTTCAATTTATTTCCAGGAATCCAACACCCGTGATTACGGATTTGACTCCAATTAAGTGGACACCGTTAAAGCGCGCCGAAGATGTGTACGATTATTTAGACATTGATGTCGAACCTCGAATGAAAACTTTCCGTAAAGGAGAGCAGCGCTGGGACTGGAAAAAACGCGAAAAATAGACAGTTACATTCTACCCGTAATAATTTATATCAGCATTAAAATTCTTCATATAAAAATCTTTTCATATTTTTAATATATTGTACATTTTTCTCTTTTGCAAAAATATCTTTTATGTTGAGAATTACATTCTCTCACATGGATTACCCATAATAAAAGAAATATTTACAATGCATTTTTAAATTTTGCGGAATTTGAATTCTAGCGTTATTTTCTTCACAAAATTAAAAAGTGACTTTTAGCGAAAATATCAGAATATCTAATATCTTTATATTAGAATTTATTGCAAAGAAATTTTTCGCGAATTAAGTTTGGGAAGTGTCGTTCAATTTCAAATTTAAATTTAAATTTAAAATATTTCAAAATTAAATTTAAATTTAAATAGTTTCAATAAATATTAATTTGAATAGCTAAAATGTCATAACAGCTGATTAATTATTGGGTGCGTTCAGCAGAAGAACTGTTAAACCATCTCGTCAATACTCGATGTAATTCGTTGATTCTAAAGGTAAACGCTCGATTGCTATTGAGCGGTTTGTTTTGCTGAACGTGTCCAATACATCTGACAATGCTTAGAATGTAGTTTAGTTTAGCTATCTTTGTATCTTATAATCTATGCATGAAACTCTGCTTTCTTCAAAGACTATCGAAATTTAAGAAATGGCATAAATTAATTGTTATAAACTTTTTTTCTTTATAAAAAAGTATATTAATTAAATATATAATGTATATTAATAAAATAATACGCAATAATATATTATATATTAGTATATTATATAATTTATTAATATATTATGTAATTAAAAAAATTAACTTCATGTGCGATGAAGATATTGCTGTACTATTTTTCTACGCTGTGGCAAAAGTTTCGTTTATCTCTAAGAATAGATTAAAGAAAAATAACAATACAGCTCGTGGCACATTATTTGAGAGTCGGGCAACTAATTTTTCGCACTACAGTCCTGAAGATGTGATGGCATCGCTGCCTTTAACGTTGAATAACAGAACATATATCGCGAGACGCATGCGCCTTTTCTACAGAACGCTCGTTATTCATGGTCACTCGTGGTTGTGTTCTCTGGAAGCTTCGAACGCATATCGTCCAGTGATCGTTGCATGAATCATCATGCGAGAGTGAGAGAAACGGAGAAAGGTAGGCTGGATACCAAGTGCGGAAAGAACACTTAAGAGACATTGCGCAATCGCCTGTTAACGTTTATATTAATTAATTAATTATATACGGACATATAAAATTGCCTTCGCGCGACCGGCGATCTTCTACTTTTCGTCGCGTACTTCGCCTTGGACCACGTGCTTTCGCGTGTCGTGCATTTCGGAAATATCGTTTCGGCGAGCATCAAAATTTGTAGTAATCGCATCTCACGAGTGAACAAAATCCGTTAGAGACACGTCAAAAATATCGATCGGAAAATAACGTATCGATTTGACCTTCGTCCGATATGAACGAAACAAACAAGATAAGTATTTGTATTCGCCTGCGGAGCGAATGGTGACAGTTTTTGTCGGATAATGCGAGAGGATAGAGAACACTTCGAGAAATTAAACGTTATTTGAGAAATATAGACAGAGTGATATCTTTCGTCCGCGCTCGTTGATCGTTAAGTGATACAAGATGTGCGAAATAGATGACTTGGAAATGCCGTATCTGCGGGCGATTCAAGCGGTACCGGGCAATACTGCCAGTGAGAAGCTAAGGTGGATCGGAAGATTAACTTCGAACTCGGCCAGCGGAGATTCCGAACAACTTCCACAGGAATTGCTGCCTCTACTGAAGGTGGAAATCGCGGTCAAGGAGAAGAAGCACGATGATATAACGATCGCTCTTAAATCCGAGGATTGGATGATCGTGAATCGTGCTTTTAAGGCTACCTGGTTCTTCGATGGCAGTCACAAGGATACGATCAATGCCCATTACTTCTGCGATTATATCCTTCCTGATGTCTCTATGAATACGAGGGTACGTATCATAAATACTCTCGCAAATAAATTAACTGATCCGGAGTTAGCGAAACAATTATTCACGAAGGTAGCGTCTATTTACGGTTTTTCTAACGCATATCCATTGATCTTGGCTTGCGACGAGGAATTCGCTTATGAAACGATCCAGCAGCGGAAATTCGTGCTGTCAGTTGGAACTGCTAAAAAGTTTTTCCGTAAGAATCCTGATCTTATTGTGCGTTATCTTAAACTATTGAAACCCGTAAAGATGACCGAACGCGCTCCTTTCCCGGTAAATATTAATAAATACAAGTCTTTGTTGCCTAAATTAGTGAAAAAGCGTCTGGAAGCTTTCGTAGAACTGTTCGAGATGCATGAAAAGAATCCACCAAAATTTATTTTAAGCAACACATGCACCGAAATATTCTTGAAAAAAGGACAGCAGTACTTGAATAAAAAGCCGTATTTGTACATCAATATCTTACCGCTCAAGAAGATCAACGAAGAAATCATGGAAAATATATTTGAAGGTCTATTACCCGTGAAAAGTTCTTGTTTTGAAATGGATAAAATTCTCAAATATTTACAGCATTATCCAAAAAATAAAAGATACAATCTGCTTCGTCAATGTTACACAGCAAAATATAATGCTGAACTTCTCGACGAAGACGAAAATATAACGCCCGCGTTGTTGCAAATATTACCTGCCGAAGAACGAATTAAGCAAGCCAGAATTCTGCTCGAGAAAAAGAAATTGGAAGAAACACAATACGATACAATGGATTATGAGAGAGCATGGATCTGTTATTTACCTGTTAACGAAGCGATACCGATTATTAAGGAAAAAATAAATAAAACTTCCATTGATCTAAATCGAGCTAATCTTATTTGTCAAATGTTATACGCTTGCAAAGTCAATGAGGATGACGATGCGTTAATTGATACCTTAACATACTTCAAAAACAGACACAAAAATGAGGAAAATTGGATATACGATCGAATAATGGAGCACTTTTCGATGCTCTATGATATACCTCATTTAAATGCAAAACAAATTTCTCTTCTGTTCGATATCGTACAATTGTTTTATGTAAAAAGCGGATATGTAGCGGAAGGGATAGTTAAGGCTATCATACATTACAGATTCATTCACGATATGCCAATTGACGATTTAATTCGCATGTTGCTAGAGATAAATGATAAATGGTCCATAAACTTTAATATATTCAAGGAACATCCACAGTACAACAGGAAGTGCCTTGTAACTTTCGCAAATATTATGCAAGAAAAATTTTCCGAAGAAAATTCGAATATATTTGATGAAAAAAACCAGTACACCGTATGCCGTTTCAGCATAGCAATGTATGACTTCAACAAGATATGCAAAAAATCACACCTCAAGATAGAGCATATGAAGATTAAAGACTACCCTTGGATGTTGGGTATTATAAAACTATCCGATAACTCAGCTACGAAAATGGTTCTAAAGACATTGAAGAAGGAAGAACCGGAATTGTATCGCAACATCGGACGCCTTACAGAAAGCATCACGGATTTATTAACGTCAGGAGAAGCGCTCGCTGAATTGAAGCGAGGTTCACAAGATATACTGTTTAATTTGGACGGATATTTTAAGGCTTGCAAGAAGACACATTACAATAATGAAGTGCGACGTTTTATCAGAGCCATGCGCTGGTACCAGGACATACCCATTAATTTTATCGAGCGTTGCATGTCTTTTTTGCGTGAGATGAAAAACAAACAATACTTGGAGTATGGCAAAACCGATATCTTGCCTATCTTGACTATCTTGGCATTACTACTTCATGGTAACACGTTGACAAAACTAGTGGCATCCCTCATACCTGCGAAAACAACGATTGATGCCACGGATTCGAAATCTAGAGAAAATTATGAACTCGTGCGTCATTTATCAGTCATCATGAAACTTTCCAATCCGCCAGTACCTCCCGAACAGGTAGCGAAATTATGCGAAGGAGATTACTTATCGATAGCGCTGAGGGCGCTGACAAATGTGAGCAGACGATCTTGTTTGCCAAAAGTGTTGTTATTCGCGCACAAGTTGTATGATATGCGCGTTGGCGCGCGAAAGCACGGGGTCAGGTTGATGTATCAAATAGCTCCCATAACCGAACTTACCGTATTTCTGAAACAGATGTGGAACATCGAGAGTCATCACTCGATACGAGAAGTTATATTCAACATGGTGCAGAAACTCTTCTGCGCGGAACCAAATCCAGACAATTGGTTTCTATATTGCTCAGTTATACACACGATGCAACTCAAAGATGAACCATTGCTTTTGCAAATCAAACTTTTTCCCAGCATTCCTGATCAATACGTCGAGAAATACCTTAAAATATGGCTCGAAACGATAAATGATTTTGAATTAAAATCAAATGCCGAGGAGACGAATAAATACTTAATCAATTTTCTTCAAGAAATAACCATGCCTGTTTGCAATCTCCTATCCGAAAATTTCGCCCAAAATATAATAACGAAATATTTATTTGACATCAACGCTGATTTATCTACGGCTGCAAGAAATTTCTCGATGTTATATCTTTTCCCAGCGGATGAGAATAAATTTAAAGATCGTAGCAAGAAATTCGTCCATACCTTCCATTCCATGATAAAAATATACTGGAACAAGACTCATCCTAAAAAATTACGTTTTTATCCATACAATAACATCGTGCATCTATTTATGGAGAATTTCGTCATTGTCTATGCCAAAAAAGTTTGCCTAAATAAATCTACCAATACGCAATTCATCGATGATATGCTCAAATTATATTCATCCGTCTTGATACCCACGCAGGACGCGAGGTCTTATCTGCTGTTAACATATGCGAAAAAACTTCAAGAATGTATTTCAACTAATAAATGTTTCGGTCTGCAAATTGGTCAATACGTATTGAAATTGGTCAAGATTTTCTCGTCGTCATTAGTGCAGTTCATGGCCAAGATTCTCGAGCACTTTCTAAATCGTGTATTTAAAGATCACAACAACTTGGAAGAACTTAAATTTAATGTTATAGAAGGCCTTATTAAAGCTGATAACATACATTCCTGTTTCATGGCTGTGATAATGTTATCGCCAGTGACTCTGAAGAATCTTGGGACAAGATACGATGAACTTATCACAAAATTCCGAGAAATGGAAAATCCTGCTATCACTAGCATTTTAAATGACCATTTAAATATGTTGGACTTTCAAAGTGTCATATCCGATTAAATCCGATTAAATCGATCGAACAAACAGAATATTGAATGTATCGAATGAATTTTACGTGATTGGTTCCGCGATAGTATTTTGTAAGAATAAATAGTGATACTCTTTATTATAAAATTGATAATTTGATTGCATGCATTTTTATATTAAATTGTTCCTGCGCAAAATTTTTCTCTTCGACACATATACACGCATATAAACGCATATATACACATTAATTATAAATACATTTTAGAAGAAATATTTTTTCTCTATTTCGAGATGTTTAAAATTTAAAATTTTTAATGGATAATTTTTTTTTAGTGATAAGTTGCGAATAAAGCAAATGAGTTGATAATTAATTTCATTCTATAAAACAGAAAAAATAGCGATGTTTTCACAACGTTTTTTATATATGAGAAAAGCGTGACGATGCAATATATGTAATGTATGTAATAAAGATATTTTTTTTCATATCATTTAAATATAAATATGCCATTGCACAGCATGCATTTCTTTATTTCATATTTTTTATTAATATGCATTAAAACGTCATATCAATTATTAAAGTGAACAAGCATTTAAGTAATCGTATAGATAATAGATGCATTCTTTGCGGCATATTTTTCTTTTCATTTATTAATCCACTTTTCATTTATTAATCCACCTTTCCTCAAAAACTAACATCTTTTATAGAATACACAATTAAAATTTTGAAACAATAATAAATAATAAAAAATGTTACTATTCTTAAAAGTACTTTTGAGTGTAAATTTTATAACTAATTTCAAAATAATTCAAACATTTTCATCTCTGTTAACAACGTAAATAACACTATCGAGTCGAAATGCTAAACATTCACTAATGTATAAATAAATATACGTAAACAGAGAAATTTATTGCAAATATTGCAAATTCTATCGTAAAATTGTAGATTGTGTAAAACGAGTATTCAACAAGGTCAAATGGAAATATATAATTTGATATCGAGTAAGTGAACTGATAATATATATTTTTCTAATGATAAAAGTATGAAATTATTATGAAAACATCACATTTATAAAAATATGATAAATTTTTAATATCAATTTTTAATAAATTTTTAATACAGCAATATATAAACGAGAAAAAAGAGTGGAGAGATATAAATATAAGATTTGACGCGTTGAGAGATGTGATTTAATCTTCTCAGAAAATTGTATAAAGATCATAGTTTTCTATTTTTATTTTTAGTCTATATAACTTATATTTTTCTGAAACGCACAGGATTTGCAAATGTAACTCGTTTAAATAATTCATAAACAATTAATCATTTTTTCGCTGGTAATATTTTACGAAAAGTGACAGTTATTAATTTGAAATAGCGGGCAGATATTAGCGTGTACTTACGCGATGTGTCGAAGCCGGTGATGAAGGACGGGCAGGGTGCATATACGGTTGATCCCGCTTTAGTATTCGGCCAACAGGACCACCCATCAAACGTGAATCGACAGTATGGTTCTGAAATAGAAATTTGAATAAGTCATTGTACAATGAGATAGTGGATTGATAACGTAAAAGGGATTTGCTACAACGCGTCGTGATTAAATCTCAATATTCATATATGTATATAAGAAATTGCGAGGAATAATATAACGATATCGCGAAGAAAATATCAGTGCTAGTTGGCTAGGACAAATTGAATAAATCTTCCCATGAGTTTTTTACGACACTCATAAAGCTACGAAGCGTGATATATTACTTATTATGATTACTAGAGAATTAAAAATATATGTTCCGTAAAAAATATGTCACTCACGTGATACATACAATCTTCATATATCGATGAGCAAAATAAATTTAACTTTGCTTGTTCGAGTTTATATTTATATTGTTTTAATTAAAAAAAAATTGATGCGTGTAATTCATAAATCGTGAAAGTTTACGGTACATGTTTTATACGAAGAGTCATAAAACCGACGGAAAATAATAATCAAATTTGTCGAGAAAACAATCATTAATGAATTTGGTAGATCCAGAATATTATATATATAAATCATAATTGAAATATTTCATAATTGACTTCTTTTTATTATCTACATAATATTATAGCATGATATATGAAGAATAAATACAAATATAAATATTTTGTATAAATATTCAAAGAAGTTATATAAGGTCATGTATAAAAGATGAACTAACTTTCTTACCGCTTGTTGCATTAATGCAAAATCACGTTTAAGGGATACCATCAAGATATCGTGGTTGCGAGCTTGGGGAAAGTTCGCATTTGCTCGCAAGATTCAAGCCTCGAAGAAACGCTGATAACACGGATTTCCTTCGAGATCTCTCGCAGTTTCGTCAACTTTTATTGAAAATAAATCACTTTCTTTCCTCCCTCGTGTAACTAGCCTGAGAGAGGGGCATAATACCGATTCAGTGGGATTGCACTGAGAGAACATCTGTAACAGCCACATGGAAAATTTTCCCCTCGAGTTCCACGAGGAGCAAAGTAACCGCACAATTTGCGAAGTTAATGTTGCGGAAATAACGAAAGCAAATTTTCCGAGACTAACGTTTGTGTGTCCGTTTCCATCATAAAAATTTCGCTCATCTGTATTCGTCACATGAACGTTTATATATCCGCGTAAAATATTGTGCATTTGCGTACATGAAATAGATCTTGCTTTGGCGAGTATCTCATGTCAGAGACTATTTCGAAATACATACATTTGAAAACTCGTAAACCTCCGTGGCTGATGGAATCGCTTTTAGATACGATCAAAGAGACTGCTTTAAACTCACTACATCGAACTCACGAAAAATGTTTTGAACGGAAAGTCTTGAAAAGTTTAAAATAGAAAAATAACTTTTTGAAATCTTTAGTTTTTCTGCAACACAGTAAATTTTAATTAAGGTGTGTAAATAATAAAACTTTTTTTTAATTGACATTTCAAACGGATTTTACTCCAAAATTTTAATATAATATTTAATTATTTTTAAAACTAAAAAGTAAAAAATTTCTGGCTAATTCTGTTACCTAATTTTTGCCGAATCAAAGATAAAATTGTTAAAATGAAAATCTCGGAAAATATCATCGTAATCATATTTCTTTTATAATACTTGCGAGCGTAAAAAGAAGAAAATTTTAAAAATTTCACTTTTATGTAGCCATAAAATGTAAGTAGCTGTAAAGTGCACATTGAGATTCAGCCAATCTCGAGTTTATTTTACATTATATTTGTGTGCTTGTGTACATCTGTGCATAAAAAATACTTGTGTGTGAATTTTTTCCAATGAATTTTTTCATATGAAAACTCTAGTGGAAGATAAAAATATCCAGATCTATTAGTTTGAAAGTATAGCTTTCTAAAATTAATATAGAAAAATTACATATTTAATTATAATATTTAATGTATACAATATTTGATATGTAACATATTTCTTAATATCACTCTTATGTGAATATAATTTGGATAACATGATAACTTGAAGAATTGGAAATATACAAGTGATTAAATTGGAAGTATTATTCTTATTTAATCATAATAGTCTCCCTACTATGATATAACAAAATTAAAATCATAAATTAATATTTTGAAAAGATTAGATATTAAGGAAAGACTATTTAAAAAAAATTTAAATTATGATAATTCGGTTATTCATTAATTATATATACATAATTTGTTTTATTTAATTTTTATTAATTTAAAAAATTGTATCCAAACACAAGTAATATGTAAATGATATTTTAAAGGTACTTGTTATCAGATGAATTTCGACAGAAGGTTAAAGTCCATCACATGGAACTGATGAAGGCGTATCATTCTGCCATCATTACTAGTTTCTTTAATTATATGATGTATCCTTCCTAGTGAGAAAATAATCAGTGTTCACGACTGTCAGTACAGTTGTGATACTCTTCGTGGATGATGTGTGTGTCTAACAGTAAGTGACATCTCGAATCGCATTAGGTTGCTTCTTTTAATTAATGCAATTTAATAAACAATTATTGTGTTATCGAACAGTAAATGATTTTGACAGTTTCTTTATCTGATTAATTTATTATATGGCTCTGCTCTCTGTCCAAAATTAATAATTTTGAAAAGAGAATTGTGAAGATGGAAAAAAATAGAAAAATGTGTACACATAAAAAATTCAAGCACAAAACTTAATATCATTGTGTTTTAGAAGTCTCTAATTTATTTATATTACGATAGAAAAATTTATCTTAAAGAATTAATAAAAGTAATATAAACTCTATTTACAAATTTCTTTGATTATGTCGTGATAAAAAATTTCTTGGATTTCATACTAATAGTAATCTGTGAAATACGAAATATAACTTGAAGGACGAAGTGATTGTTGCGGATATTATTCGATCAATTTCGTCCTTAGGAAAAACTAGAAGAAAAATTTTATCGTTTAAAATAAGAGATGTGTTGCTTTAAATAATCTATGAGTCCTATAATAACAAAATAACCAAAATACGAAAAACAAGAATGATTTATACATTATCATACTTATCATCAATGTTATCATTTCGTATCAAGTGGAAATTTTACCATGGTCACCACATATATTATTAATTTATCGTTCAGATTATAATATTCGATCAGATATTATCTTTCAAATGCAATCCATGAAATATTATCTCTATACAAAATACGATGTGTTTTATTTGTAACAATTGATTGATGTATTTCAGAGATAGTGCAATTAATCTTTGCAATTGGTTAGCTACTTCTTACAGGAATCAAAGTTAAATAAGTCGAATAAGTTGGATATAATAAGTATTAAATGCAGAAGGGGTGACTATTAAATCAACATGAAGTTACTATTGATTCTTCACGCGATTCTGATCTGCAATCAAATTGTTGATGGTCACCGAATCCTCGGAATATTTCCGTCAAACAGTAGGAATTACTGGATCATGCAAGAGGAATTGATGAAAGGCTTAGTGAAACGCGGCTATCAAGTTGACGTAGTCACGCATTTTCCGCAAAAGAATCCGATACCCAATTATACAGATATCAACTTGGCGGGTAGTATGTTGCCTATTATGAACAATCTCACCGCAACGAGAGTCAAAACAAACAGCATCGTATCGATGGGATCATTAATTTATATTATTAATATTTTACAGCCGGGAGGTTTGTCAATTGATGGATCACCCGAAGATACACGAACTGATCAAGAAACTGCCGCAGAATTCTCCTTTTGACATAGTTATTACGGAGGTATGACTATTAAGACTGCTTTCGAATATGTGCATGTTTATTTACTCTTGTATGAATGTAATCAGAAAATTTTTATCATTTAAAATTACGTATTTTTTTAGGATATTATCTCTTGAACCGGTCAAATCTGTATTAAAACTTCTCTGATAGTTTTCCAAGATTTCATGCTTTTCGTTTCAAATATCAGATGATTTTGCTCTTTGCAGTTCTAAGATTCTTAAATACTTTAATATTTTTATAACTAACTTTTCTATCAGTAAAACTTGCTTGACATTAAATGAACAGAGTAAACTCCCATTAATGACTCGCGTCAAAAGTTTAATTCGCAAAGAACTTTTTTTCTTGATTCTTTAAGATGCAAAAATTGTTTGATATTTTTATTAATAAACAATTAATCTTTCTACTTATTAAAAAAATTTCATTTATATATGATTTAATAAAAATAATAAAACACTTAATATATTGTAATGAGATGTATCTCATAACATTATGTATATTTTCAACGTATCTTTTGCTTTTTTTATTTAATTCTTATGCTCTAAATATTCTACGTACATTCTTTTAATCGCAAAAATATTTAAAAAAGAATTATATCATTATTATTAAAAAATACTAATCGTTGAAAAAAAAAAAGATAATTACAATTTAAAGTCAATAAGTTATTAGAACAATAAAATTACATAGCAAACAACCCAGAATAGCAGCACTTTTATCGCATGAAGAAAGAGAGAAAAAAAGTTAAATCCAATCAAATAATCGTTTACTCAAGACTTTACTTTATTTAAAATAAAGCCCTTTATATAAAAAAATAAGCCTGGACTAAATGATTATTTCATTAAATGTAGATATATATATAAACAAGAGAAACAAACTTCGGCAGACAAAATCCTATCTCATTATCTTAATAATATTAATAATAATAATAATAATGACGACAATAGTGACAATAACAACAACAACAATAATATTAATAATAACACTAATTTAAAGATCACTCATTAAACTATTAATTCATGTGTTCTCTTTCTAATGAATAGTACTACATCAAAGTACCGAATTAAGTTAAAACGAAATTAACGATTACAAGATAACTCGGGATCATTATCAGAACTTGTCTTATGACTGTGCACTTTTTGCGTATAGTTTTAAAGTAGCGTACAGTTATAAAGTATGGCTTTTTCAGTATTTAACTAACATAATTCACAAATTGTTTTATGATACATTTGCGTAACAATGAATCGACCGTGTTTAACCTTAAATCAAATTTTAGATTATGACGTA